CTCTGATGCTTCAGTGCTTCTAGCATATCAGCCCTGTGCATGCGTCTGCTATGTGCAACAGACCCCAGGTTTTGGGCATGCTGGGCAAATTAAATGTTTCTGTACAACAGGAGAATGAATGAGACAGGCGACAGGTGAAGTTCCTTAATGCCGACCTCACTACAGTATACCGTCTCTCGGAGTAATGTGCCACCTTCTGGTGAGTGTTTAACTACAACTCAAACAAATTATTACCCAAAATCAGTCTCTCTTCAAACCAAACAAATAATAATGAGAATACACATTAGTGTGTCACATATGGCCAATCATAATCTAGGACTCTGTTTTAAAAATATGCGTACTGCCAAGTGCTTCTGCTCCGTCAAGCTCCGAACACATTCATTGATATTCTGCTCAACAATTCCAATTTGAACTCCAAAGACTCCTCAGGGTTCAGCTTCTTCCAGTCCTCCTGTCTTATTACTTAAGCACCAATGCAACATTGTGCCTTAATCTCCTCACACCCGAGAGACATTTACCATCCTAGAGCTTCATTCCTGTTTAAACTTTTCAGCTTTGCCCCTGAGGCATACTGTCTCCGTTCTTTCAGGTGATCTACAAGCTAGTCCCAATACCTCATACCAAGCATGCTTGTAGCGACACTGGAGAAGAAAACCCTCTTGACAAGAAGAAACCTCCAACAGAACCAGGCTCTGTGTTAGCGGCCTTCCTTATTCAAGAATATAGAAGCAGACATGCAAAAACATGGATACAAAATGTAACTGTCAACCAGCTCCACATGTTTCCCCGCCAAGGAAAGATACAGCCAGGCAGATGAGCTCCAAACCAATTCTCTTGTCAAAAGTTTAAAAGGGAGTGCATACAATTAGTCACAGTAAAATAAACAGGACTACACTGAAAATCAGGCCAAGCTTCAACATCTATAAACCTAGATGTCAATATCCAGGTTTTCCCGAAAAAGTTTTCCAATTTTCACTGCAGCCCACATCGTTGTCAGGACACCACCTAGACAGCCTGCAATTGAATGACGACATGAGGCTAAACAAGTCATCACTTGTTAACTACCTTTTGAAAGCATTTGTGCTATTACACCCTAGGATCATGCCAGCTGATATCAGTTTTCTTTGCATGCTTTATGTAACCTACAGTACACAACCAGGTAACTTCTTATTGTAGTAGGTCAGACTGACTAAGACACAACATTATATTCCAGTTGAGCTTGGGTCTGCTTCACAGCTGCTGTTTTTAATTCTGTCTCTTTGGCATTTCTTGAGCACGCTGCTCGCCATCGATGAATCAGCTTAAAATGAATCAGCTAAATAATTCAGCTGTGACCACTTGGCAGTGAGACATCCATTTCATGTTTAAGCTTCTTTTGTTTAATAAAATTTTGGTGACCTCTGGAGGACGGCGTCTCTGCTGCAGGACCCTTGGAGGATGGCTTCTGTGCTGCAAGACCCTTGTAGGATGGCCTCTGTGCTGCAGGACCCTTGGAGGATGGCCTCTCTGCTGCAGGACCCTTGGGGGCCGACGATTGCAGCACACAAACCTTTGGGGCTTCCGACTGCGACACACAAACCTTGGGGGACTCGTGACGAAGAGGTGAGGAGCGCCCGCTTAGGGACCTCGGAGGCGAGGGGTGCCCGCTGAGGGGTCTCGAGGACAAACTCACTGAGCTCAAAGTCAGGGACCAGTTCTTCAGTGGGCTAAGGGGACTCTGGATGGCACAGAGACCTGGTGTCACGCTGGAGACGTGACACCAGAGGGCACTAGAGAGGGAACACCAGAGGGGCCTGAAACTAGGGAGGGGACAACAGAAGGATCAGAGACTAAAGAGGTGACAACAACAGGGTCTGAGAATAGAGAGGGGGCACTGGATGGACCAGGGACTAGAGAGGGGACACTAGAGGGACCCGAGGCTAGAGAGGGTTCACTAGAGGGACCTCTGGCTATAGAGGAGGGACCTGAGGCTAGAGAGGGGACACTAGAGGGACCTGAGGCTAGAGAGGGGACACTAGAGGGACCTGAGGCTAGAGAGGGGACACTAGAGGGACCTGAGGCTAGAGAGGGGACACTAGA